TGGTGGCGCCTTGCGTCTGTTGGTGGGCTGCGTGAGCCGTGTTGATTTGGTGGCGTGCGTCACCCTCGTGCAGCTTACCCTTGCCTTTGTCCAAGCGGGGCCGATCCGCTGTCCGGGATACGGACCCCAAGCTTTCCCTTGGCGAGCCAGGCCGGCGCTCACCGATCCGTCCCTCCATCCTCTCCGAAACCGGACGACGGCGCACGTCACCCAGCCTATTGAAGGCAGAGTCTTTTCCACGCGCTGGGGTCGGTCTGGGTTGAAGAGGGGAAGCAGGGTGGGAGTGGGACGACGCCGTGTCCTGGGCCATCACCCCCTCATCGTTGCCTAGCTTGATGGCCAACGGTTGGGGCTGAGGAGGTGGAGTGATGTTCCCCCCAGTCCTTGGCATGAGTGCGCTTAGGACGGTGGGGTTCTGAGCCTAGCTGGCGATGATGACCGATAGTGCGGCCTGAACCAGTGGGTCAACACACGGAGAGGCCGTGGCCAATGGTTGGGCCGGGGCGTTGTCTACCTTCTCTGCGCGCTTCTTATCCAGGCCGATGCGGGCATCAGGGGCGCCGCTGTTAAGCTGGTTGCGCAGGTCCGTCGTGAGGTTGATGGCCTCCTGGAAGACGTCCCCTCCTCCGACCTGGTCGGTCGTGGCGTCCTCCTCACGCTCCCTATTCTCCTGACCCTCAGGGATGGCCTTGCTGACGAGGTTGCGGTTTGACTTAGTTCTTCCCATGATCAGTGGTTAGCTGTGCTTGGTAGCGACGAAGGATGCTAACTTGATTGTTCTACCTCTCAACGAGAGCACCAAATGATGGATTATATTCTAGAGAGAAGTGAGAGCTAGAGAGAGAAGTGCAAGTAAATGCTTCAATACATGATTTTGTGAACCCCTATAACTACTCCCAGAGGTAGTATTTATAGAGGAAATTAGGACCGGGCTCCCAAATCTTGGGCTTGGGAGGCCCATTTACAATCGGGCCACTACTGGGCCGAGTACAAAGAGTGTAAAAACAACTAAGTATGAAATCCGGTTGTGGGAGTTCTCTGTGGCCGAAGGAGGTTCGGCCGAAGGAGGCGCCTGGCCGATGGAGACACGGCCGACGGAGGACCATCCGAGCTAATTGCTGTTTGGGCCATATTCTGGGCTGACTGTTGCTTGGCCGACGGGGGGCGCCGGCCGACGGAGGCACTGGCCGACGGGGGGCACCGGCCGATGGAGGCACTGGCCGACGGGGGCACCGGCCGACGGAGGACAATTCTTCTCCTTGGCTTCTGGACCGTATTCTGGATCGACTCTTCTACGGCTGGTGGAGGGCCACCTGGCCGAAGGAGGACCCACTGGGTGACAGCTGCGCTTCCTCTTAGTCTTCTGAGTATGTGGGTCATGGGGTCTGGACACATATACTCCATCATATATATATATATATATATATATATATATATATATATATATATATATATATATATATATATATATATATATATATATATATATGTGTGTGTGTGTGTGTGTGTGTGTGTGTGTGTGTGTGTGTATGAACATAAACCATGATACTCAATTGCATGTTTTTGATACTCAATAAAGGAAGTTTGATGCTCAATAAAAATGTCTTGAAGTTCAATTTAACAACTTATGATTTTCATATCAATACTCATTTTGTAAATTACGTATGCTCAATTGGTACTCATATTATGCTCATTTTTAAAATGTCATATCCATGCAAATTTTAAAAGTTTAATTTTGTAATACTAGTACAACTGTTTATAGAACTAGATTTTATAGATGGATATTACTTAGTAAGTTTTTATAAAAGAAAAAAGTGAATTACAAGATATGAAACAGAGATCACAATGCTCATTATTAGGTTCCTAATACTCAACAGAATAAGTCGGATGCTAATTACAAGTGTTTTATTGCTCATAATAGATCTGATGCACATTAAAAGTTCATTAATGTTCATTTAGCAGAAATCGTGATTTTCATCCCTATAGAGGAGGTTTGATGATCAATAAAAATGTCGTTATGTAAAACTAACAAATCTTACGATTTTCATATCAATGAACATTTTGTAAGTTGTGTATGCTCATTTTAAAATTTTATATCAATGCATATTTCAAAAGTATTATATTACATTAAATTCGCATATTAAAATTCATAGAAGTGTATTATAGATATAATTTAGTAATTAAGTTTTTAAAAAAGAAAAAATAAAAAAAAATTGAATTAGAAGATATGAAACATAGATCCAGCTGATACTCATTGTTAGCCTCCTAATACTAAAAAAATAGATCAATTGCTCATTAAAAGTACAATATTACTCATTTAGCAAAAGGCGTGATTTTTCACATAGATTACAAAAATGCCATCGAAGAAAATGGCCTGTATTTATTATTGAACTGTCTTCCTAAGTTGGGCCGGGTGTACATACACCCGAATGTATGATATAGGCAGTGAGTACTCTGTATCATAATTATACCGAGTATATCTTTATTAATATTGATCTTAGGACCTGTTTATTTAGGACTTAATGGATTTAATGAGATTGGTGACTTAATCATTCAACCATTAAGTTGTGTTTATTTAGGACTTAATGAAAAGCATCACTTATTTCCTCAGTCCAAAATGGACTTAATGGTTCAACGCAAAAATAGGACTCCTTCTGCTTCAGACTATGAGTATGTTTGGCACAACTAGCTTAAAAGATAGTTTTGTAGGCTTTTTAATAAATGTTAGCTTTTAGTGACTGAAAAGATCTTAAAAACAAAAGGTGGTAGCTGTTTGGTAAAAAGCGGACTATTTGATTTAGTTCGATTTGGTATACAAACTGTTAAGCCTAATTAATACTAAAAGTCACGGGCTTTTCTCAGATGATATTCCTTGTAGAATATCAAAAAAGATCTTTTAATTTTTCAAAAGCACTTAAAATTTGTCATGCCCAACATACAACTATAAAATTTTAGAGACTTTTTGAATAATAAAAAAGCTAAAAGACATGGACTTATGCCAGTCAAACATAACCTATGGAACAGACCATATTTCTCCTTTTTAACCCAATTGACGTCACTCTATTGCTCTCGATGTCACTCGTATTGCTCTATGTAATTACCCCTGGCCTGGAAGGAAGATATCTGGGAATCGCTAAACTTTTTGGTGAGCTTTTCTTATCAGAGAGAGATTGATCTCAAACTCTCTTCCATCAAATTTTCAAAAACTTTGGACGTCCTCTCTCGTCGAAATGGCTCAGCCCCATTGTGAAGAATTTGAATCATATTCTGCTTGTGTGGTTTTCCTCTCCATATGATCAGAATTTGCGAAATGTTTAAATTTAAAATGGCGAATTTACGGGATGAAATTGCTAATAGACTAGTATGAAATATTAAAATTTAAAATTTCATTCTCATAAAACTCTTGACTATGTTTTATCATGCAATATGACTCTTTTATTTAAGTAATTCATAGTATTATTATTTTCTGGTATATAAATTTTATCTTTCACAACAAAGAAAGTAAATAGACAATATACATTCAGCATTTGTTACAAAAATGAAGATTATTTGGTCATTAGACATGATTTAGACTTCTCATTCAGCACACTTAGTAAACATCATATTATTTCAGTGTAACTTAATCTAGACGAACATCTTAATGTAGGCAGACGTCTTAATCCATTCAGAACTTAATGAGAAAAAAAGTAAACTTAATGTAGCTAGATCACTTGATTGGATGGCTTTCAAGTGCCACTTTTAAAGCATAACAAAATAGTTCCATAAAACTTTTTTGAGTAAGCAAAAGATATTCGACAATATATTTTGGGGAATTTGATATTCCCTATTACATTCCAATTTTAGGTGATACATAATACGAGTATTTGATTTTGTACTATATTTTTAAAATCATTAATATGTACATCTAATTTCATTATAAAAGAATTTCACCTTAGACTTCACTCCTAAATCTTTCTCGGGCTGATTAGGTGCACAAAGAACATTAACGGTGTGTTTACTAAAAGAGATATTTTCCAGTTTTTTTAAAAAATTGAAAACTAGAAAAAGGAAAACAAAACACGTGTTTACCAAAAAAAATTGCTGGAAAACTAGAGAAAGAAAAACAGAAAAATGTGTTTACTAAATTGTTTTTCAAAATCAAAAAATGAGATACGTCTCTATTTTCCTTAATGAATATCTCTAAAGATCTAAAGATTTTAAAAGTAAGGTGCAAAATTCAATATGACTAGAAAAATGGTATAGGAAGTCAAATGTCCTAAACTTTTTTGTTAAGAATGGAATGAAGAGATCAAAAATGAAAAAAATTCACTTTTGGTCCCATGACTATTATGTCACTTCCACATTACTCTCTTGACTTTCAATTTAACCAAATCTAGTTCGTGACATTTTCCCCTTCCCCACATGTGGTCCTTTCGACCACAACTCCGACAATTTTTAACCGGAAACTCATATATGTAGAAACTTTGGGGGCATTTTAGTAATTGTATATTGTTAAAACGGCTACATACAATAGTCGACAGAGGACGCCCATAACGGCTACATAAATGGGGACGTTCGTCCCATAAACAACGGGCTATGAGGCCGTTCGTCCCGTAAACAACGGGTTATGGGGATGTTCGTCCCATAAACAACATGTGTCCTCTATCGCCTTTTGTAGGTAGCCGTTTTAACAACACACAATTACTAAAATGCCCCCAATATTTCTTCATAAATGAGTTTCCGGATAAAAATTGGCGGAGTAGTGGTCGGAAAGACCACAGGTGGTGAAGGGGAAAAGGTCACGGACTAGATGTGGTTAAATTGAAAATAAAGAGAGTAACGTCAAAGTGACATAATAGTAATGAGACAAAAAATGAAATTTTTTCAAATTTAAAAATAAAAGCAGTTAATTTGAAAATAACTGAGTAGTAGATGTCACTCAAACAAATAAACTTTGAGAAACACAACCGTAATGGGCCATTGATGAATTGAACGAAATCCACCCACGAGCCCACGACCACCTCTTGTTTTAAGCGCAAAACTTGTCACTTCTCTTCGCGCTTCGATCTTCCCCCGTCTCTTTCTCCATCACGCCTTTTCCCTTCCATTCTATATCCCCGCTGACACTCTGTTCATCACTCGTCTACGATAGTTTTCCCTTCAATTCCTGGTTTACTCTCCTTTTTCTACAACAATTTCCGTTTTCAAGTTATGAATATATCTAAAGTGTTGGAATTTTGATTTTGATTTTGGAATTTCCGTTTACGGTTTGGTTTTGATTTTTCGCAGAGTTGTAGTAAAAAGGAAGGCGAAGAAGCTTGGAATTTGGAACCGGATCGAACTTGAATTACGGAATGGAGACGTCTCGGAAAATCTGTGCGGTTCTTCTATTTACTCTACTCGCTCTGTACCAGTCCCTCGCCGAAGATGCTCCGGCGATTGCTCCAGTACCAGAACCCGCCGCCGATGATTCTTCCTCTCCCGCTCCTCCATCTGGTTCTGTTTCTCCTCCGGCTCCTCCTCCATCAGATCTCGGATCTCCGTCGCCGTCACCGTCACATGTGAATGCGAAATCGTCCGCACCGTCATCGTCTATGTCTCCTGATCCGAATTCACAAGACGCAGCAGACAGACATGATCAGGACATGAGTATAAACGCGGAGAAATCAACCGGCAGGGGAAGGAAGGTGGGCATTGCTTTTGGGGTCATCGCCGGCGTATGCGTCGTGGGATTTGGAGCCGTGGTTTATAAGAAACGTCGGGAGAATATCCGGCGATCTCAGTATCGAAGCGACGGCCGCGATTCATTTCGCTAATTCGCGTAAATATCGGGAGAAGGACACACGGTAACGGTGCTGCTATAATAAGAAATCTATTATACATAATCTTCGGTATTGATATTTTTGGTAGGATATCGGGTTTGCATATGATTGGTTCGACTTATTTCTGGTTAGAAACTGTGATTTATTATTATATGGAGAATTATTAATACTATTATTATTATATTATTATAATATACGTAGTAATTATATAATGGTTAGAAACTGTGATGTATTTTTATATGGAGAATTTAGAAATTGCTCTAAATAGGAGTAAAAACGTTTTAAAATTTTAAAATAGAACTTTCATGTATTTTTTCCCTAAATAGGAGTGATTCTTCCAAGTTTGAAAAAAATATCATCTTTAAAGCCTAGTAATGTTAAATTTAGTAGAAATTTACTCTTATTCAGAGAATAAAAAACATGATTGTGCTATTTTAGGATTTTAAATTTTTTTACTCCTATTTAGAAAATTCTGTTGCCCCAATTCCATTTTTCACATGAACGATAAATAGGGACCCATCAGAGTTCATAACCATATACCCTTAATTAAGATCGTTTCGATAAATATGTATTAAAACCTCCATTTGCAGGTGAAAAAACAATATTTATTTGGTTTTAGTTCGATTTGTTTTGATTTAGTTTGACTTTGACTAATGTCATGCAATTAACATACCGGAATCCAAAGTAATAAGAATATACTATCATCTCTTCCATAAAAGTTGCAACAATTTGACTTTCACGCTTGACAACGCGCAACTTTGATTGTAATTATATATATTTACGTATTAGTAAACATTAAAAAAGTTAATATATTGGAAATTTACATTAATACAAATTTATTAATATTTTATACATAATATTTTTATTATGTATATTATTAGAAAATCGTAGTCAAAGTAAGGTGTGTGAATAGTGTAGAAATTCCAATATTGCAATTTTTATGGAACGGAGGAAGTACTTCCCTCATCCCCAAAAGGTTTGTCAATTTCTTGATTAATGACAATCAACTTTGATCAATGATATTTGTAATACGGAATTAATTTGAATATGAAAATGTTCATTATATGATCCTTACGACAATGTTTCTGGTGATTAAAATCGTCGGAGAAGGACCACAAATGGTTAAAAAATATTTGTTGAGTACCAAAAGTGAACAAACTGAAAGACGTGAATTAAATGTGAAATTGACGTCAAATCGTATGACTAAAAATGGAATTTATTCATATAAATATGATAGTTCAAATTATTGTCCAAAGTTTATCATCATAAATCAAGAAAAGTCAATATGATAAACCTTTTTCGGACGGATGCATAAAATCATATACACAATGAAATCTCCAGCTAGATACCAAGAATCATGTATATGCGTATATGCTTATTATGGGAATTTGGTGTAAAGACAACGTGTGTATCACAATTTACAAGTATTCATGCAAACTAATACTTTGATTTTCTTTGTATTTAAGTCTAGATTACCTAAATCGGTTGAAATTGTGGTGTTATGTATTATTACTCGACCTGTACAAAAAGGGATTCGGGTCAGGCTCGGGCCGGACTTTTTATAAATTTTTTGCCATCATGTGTGGGCAGGCTCGGCGTGGCCCGCAAAAACGGGCCTAACCCTATGTCCATACCCGTCCATAAGAGCGACCCGGGTAGTCCACCGGGTAGTCCACTGGGCCGCCCGGTCCGGGAGTACTTTAATTTTTTCAAAATTATATGTTTTTAAATACTATAAAAATAATATTACAACATTTAGAAAATAATTAATACGCTTATAATGTTTATACGTCTTTCACCACATACAAAAAAATACTTACACAAAAATAATAATGAGAAACTATATCAAAAATTTAAAATTTAAGCACAAAGTATTATCTTTAAGTACAAAAATAGATATTATATTGATTGGGCTACTTGTTAAGAACTAAAAATTTAAATTTAAATATAATAAACTATAAATATGTATAAAGAAAAATTAGTAAATATAATATACATGTGTATATGTAAATAAATAAATAAATTAGTATATATATAAATATTTATATATTTATATATACTAAATGTAGCGGGCTGGGCTTATTGGTCCGAACGGGCCTACATCCTAACCCAAGCCCGCCCATATCTTATTGCGGGCCGGGCTCGGACCGGCACGATGGGTAAATATATATGCCCAAGCTCGCCCATTTGTGCGGGCGGACTGAGCGGGCCGGTCCGATTTTGTCCAGATCTAATTATTACGGCGTAAAATTACAACGAGTGTATTGCATAGAGTAATTTTAAATTTGAATTACTTGAAGTATACGAAGTATAATACGTAGTACCAACTTGTACTTACTAGTTTTAAACCTTTAGGGAGTTTGAGGGTGAGGGAAGGGAAAGGCTTTGAAGGAGAGTAGAGGGAAGGGAAGGGGAGGGAGATGAGAAGGGATTCTCTCCTCTTGTTTGGGAGTTACAAATTTCAAAAGAGAAGGGTTTTGGAGGACATAAAATTAAAATGACTAGATATATATAATGAGTAAATAATAAAAAGGTATTTTAAGATCAACCATGCATGATGCATCGTCATTATTATAAACGAAATGGTAAACATTGAAATAATACTTCGTATAATTTAAGGCTCGTAGAGGAGCTGGAAATCTTGAAATAGGACACTATTTAATTAATTTATTATAAAATAATTAAAATGGAAATGTCAAAAGCATATGAAAATCAAGGCTACGAATATCAGAATATCTAATCAGAATATCAGAGTAATAAATTACGAAAATATTATATACGGTGTTTGTAATTTAACTAATTTTTAAAAAGTAAAGGAGTGCAATGAACCATGCATGATGCTTTATTTTAACTAACATAATGCTGTTTGCTTTATTTTTGTAGAGTATTCCCTTCTGAGTTGCTATTTCAGATGGTATAAACGCATGCCGTATCAAAAACTCCCGATTCGGGGGAACTCAAAAAGGGGGGTTTATGAGGATTATAAAATACTCCAAACACTTTCCTTCCATTTTAAAAAACTCCCAAACACAAAATGGGGGGTCATTGACCCTCACATTCCATCCCTTCCCCCTCAAAATTCAACTCACAATCACACCCTTAGGGATTGCCAATTGTTACATATTCTAAACCACGTATAAACGGTAACACACGTAAACAGTTTTCTTTCTAGAAGTAAGGTGATGTAAACTGCATGTAAGAAATATAACTCACGTTGATGAGAAATGTAACTGGATAGAAGTTGAAATGTAAATTGTCTAATAAAGAGTAGGAAATAAAACATTAATTTTAATGTAAACAATAAAAAAAGAGTCTAATTGCTTGATTATTTTATGTAAATAGTGAATGTGTTTTGTATTTTATATCAAGAATATAAAAAATGATTTAAAAAATCATTTTTTAATTTCAATAACAATGGTTTATTTTGTGATTTAACTCACGTTATGGAAAATGTAACTCGAAAAATGTAACTTGTCGAGGCAAATCAAAATTTAACTTGCCAATCAAAAGATTTAACTTGCGCATAAAAATATGTAATTCACGTATAAGAAGATGTAACTCGCGCATAAGAAGATGTAAGTCACGCATAAAAAAATATAACTCGTGTATAAGAAGATTTAACTTCATATACTATCAAATGTAACTTTAGGAATCGAAATAAACAAACTAAATTTCATAAAAAACCTTTGAAAACATGTAAAAGAGAAAAAATATACAATGTTATAGAAAAAAGTGTATGAATACAAAAAATAATAACAAAAAATTGTATGAATATAAAAAATATTATAGAAATAAAAATAGTGTGTGAATATGAAATGCAATATACTTATTTTATTTAGATTAGTAATTATTTTATTATGAATTGATAAAGAACATTAATAAAAAGTGAAATTTTGATTACATTTTTAGTACTTTGATGGATACCGAGTATATCTTTCAATAGTTTTGACATTATTGGTTAACTACCGTTGTCTCTCACTAGATTTTAAATATCATAACTCGTATAATAATTTTTGTCAAATTGTATAAGCGTAACTAGTAAATAGAGGATACACCAACCTCATCAATAAATAAGAAATGAGAAATTTGTTAACCGTTAGCACCTACTTCCTCAGTCTCTTTTTAGTTGCAATATTCCTTTTTCACGTTTTCCAACGCACAACTTTGATCGTCATTATATTTAATTCTGTATTAGTAAAAATAAAATAAAAATAAAATTATAAAACTTAGTAATGAGATGAATTTAACAATATTTTTCAAAAAAAAATAAATCACATACATTAATAAATAAAATGTAGTTAAAGTAGAGTCATGAATAGTGCATATATTTAAATGTTGCAACTAATGTGATATGGAGGATATATTATTCATGAGTTATGTACTACTTACAAGATATTAGAATCCCTCAAATATCACTCTCTGTCCCAAAACAAGAGTCGCGGTTCAATTTTTCTCTTTTCTTAAAAGACCCTAACATCCAATGGCTAACAGCCCTACTTGAGTGAGAAAAGACGTAGAGAAGACAGATCCATAGACAGCAAAAGAAGACTTTCCCTAAACAAGACTAATTTTTCATGTAATTTGTCAAAAAATAGTTTGCAGCAATAAATTCAATTTAATCGAGGAATACATTTTCCAAATCATACTCCGGAGTAGGTATGAATCAAGATCTACAATTGAGGTACCTCACCAAAAATAATAGTGGTACATGTATCAAATAAGACTTGTTTGTGGTAGTACTGCAATAATAGTAGATAGGGAGACCTATCAAATAACCTATAGAACTTTCGTAAAAAGTGCAAATAAGCCTTTTTACAGGAGGCTTTGTCCGGCTGTCTCCATTTGGAGTGGTTTCCGGTGGATTTTTTTGATTAATTTTTTTGAGCATCTTCTTCATTAAGTCTACTTTACCTATACTAAATTGCAACTAAAAATTCAATCTAGAAGGCAGTCAAATGATTTTCTGAAATATATTTCGTTGTCTAATTGCGCAGTTATCTTCAAAAATTCATTTGACTGTCTTCCCAATTGAATTTTTAGCTTAAATTTGGTATGAATAAACTAGACTTAATGAAGAAGATACTCAAAAAAGTTCATCAAAATAATTCCACCGGAAACCGCCCAAATGGCGACGGCCGGACAGAGCCTCCTATAAAAGGGCTTATTTACACTTTTTATGAAAGTTCGAGGGCTTATTTGATAGTTCTCCCTAGTAAATACAAATGAGTCTCTTTAAACTTAACCTTATTAAAAATCCCATTCTAAGCTCAATCAAGTACATTTTTAAGCAGAAAATACAATTGCAAATCTGGGTGCTAAGAATCCTTGATGACAATAGATCTTGTCCTCCGTGAGGCCGTGCATTTGCAGCATCAAGACATATATGCAATGTAACATCAACATATGCATGTGTAAAAGATTCTCAAACCATCATATATGCCTTGTTTTATAATGAAGTGTTTCTACTCCCTCCGTTTCTGAAACAAATTCCACCTTTCCTTTTCGGGCAGATTCAAAATTAAGTTCCACTTTCAAATATTTCCTTATTTGGCAAATTATCTACATCAAAACAGTGTCAAACAGTGCCAAACAATGTTCAAACAGTGCCAAACAGTGCACTCCACAGTAAAGTCAAATTTATTTTCTTAATATGTGTGAAGTCAAATGTGGAACTTGTTTCAGAAACGGAGAGAGTATTTTATTTTGTCATGATTTGAAATGTTTTTACTTGGATTTATTTCAATCCCGTAATAGACCGGATCAGACTTAAATAGATCAAATTTAAACATACCATAGTTTAACAGCTACTCTAAACATTTATCACACCAAATCAAACCAATTCAGACCATATCGAACCAGCCTTACAAACTAGATCAGACCAGATAATTTGATTTTAAAAACATACTCCCTATTGATGTACCGCTGAGTCGCTGACTTTCATTGCCCTTTGGAACTTGGCGTGTTCTTAACACGTGATATTTCTTTCTAATCACCCAAATTCATTCCAGATCACAAGAATAAAAAAAAGCATTCCTATTCTTCAATGGCAGATTACTAGTGATTAAAAGAATACTACATTCAATCTTAACTAATTATAACATGTCAAATTTTGGACTATTCGCGTGATCTGCTTTATTAATGAATTACAATATTGTTTAGTTCACCTCATTTAAAGTTTCAAAATCTGATTTTTTATCTTGTTACTGATAGAGAACTAAATATATTAATGATCAAAATTGTGTATTGACAAACGTGAAATGAAAGTGTTACAAATAAAAAGAACAAAGGAACTATTTTTAATTCTTCGTCATCCTAAATTTTGTTAGATACGGATTGAAATACTTCTTTTTTCCACCATTTACAATGAAACCAAAGATTCATTATTTTTTGACTTGAGATTATGATCGAATAAAGCAAAATGGTTCACTAAACTATTTGCACTTCTTTGTCAAGAAGCAGCAGTCAGTCCATTCAATTTTGAACGAGATTTTCACTATGGATAATCAAGAAACAGTCTCTCTGTGCTTTAGTACAGGGGGTAAGACTACGTACATCTGACCCCCTTACCCCACCACAAGTGGGAGCCTTTTCAACAGTAGGTAAATGAAAATGATGACGGATTGAAATACTCTAGACCTGCACAAACACGGGCTCGGGCCGGGCTTATTCTAAAAAATCTGCCCACTTGTAGTGGGCGGGCCCGGCCCGGCCCGGTAAAACGGGCCTCCTCATATGTCCAAGCCCGCCCATGAGAGCGGGCCGGGCTGCCCACCGGGCTTTTGGGCCCGGAAAATATCCTTTTGTCAACTTTGTTAAAAAAATGAAAATATTTATAAAATAACATCACAACATTTTAAATGCAATTAAATAATTAATGTACTCACAACACATTTTGAACACAAGAATACGTTTAAATGCGAAACACAAAACGATTCTGGAAAATAAAAAGCATCCAAATTCCAAATAAGCATTCATATTCCGTAATTAAAAGCGCAATCACAGATTCACAATGTGCAACGGAAATAGTCAAGAGTATCTCCAAAAAGACTTAACAAATGTATATCATTACAGTTCAAATTTAAATAGTAGAACACAAAAAGTAATTGGTATCCCAAGATTCCAAGAACTTCTCGACACTCCTTCATTTCACCAGAAAGTAATTGATCTCCCAGACTGCTCTGCCAAATGCCAATAAATATCAAATAATGAAAACCAAATATTATTTATAAACCAAGTAAAAACATTGAGATAATGAAAATAATGGAAAATAATGACACTTGTGAATAATGACATGCTAATGAAATTATACTTCCAACTATTTTAAGTTTTATACGTATAGTCATATAATGTATAATTATATATAGAATAATATATATAATATAATATGTTTACGGGCCAGGCTTTTAGGCCCGATCGAGCCTATATTACAACCCAAGCCCGCCCATATTTTAAACAGGCCGGGCCGAGCCCGGCCCGGTGGGCTAAAGCATGTTTCCAAACCCGCCCATTTATATGGGCGGGCCGGCCCGGAATTGTGCAGGTCTAAAATACTCCTTTCACTCTTGGATGCACATATAAATTGACTCTTGGGTAGGGCCTAGGGTGGACCAGTTCACCAGTACGTGACCACCGAGCAAGGACCAATTTGAGTGGTTCAGTTAGGAGACTGTCTCGGGGATCACACGTACCAATCCAGTCCCGATGTATCCCTTTTTTGTATTTTAAGCATTGAAACATTTCAAAAGAATTGTAAATCTATTTAAAAACTAAAAACAGATTGGGACTGGGTGTTGGGATTTAAAAATGTGTTGAAATTGAAATTGTATAAAATTGTACTCCATTCGTCCCATATTTAACTCCGATTTTGATCGGTCACGGGTTTTAAGATAGTGAGATTCGTGTGGTGGAGAGTTATGCAGAGGAGAGAGAAATGTGTAAGAATGATTGTGAATCACATATTCTTTACCAAAAAGGGAAAAAGGAGATAAATTTGAAACAGACCGAAAAGGAAAGTATGAAGATAATTCCGGGATCGAAGGAGTATAAAACAGACAGATTTGCAACCGGAGATATAGGTCCATGTCCTAGTTCCCCTACCCAAACTTCCTTGGAATGACACGGCCACGAACCAGCCCATGCCTACTAGTAGTAGGCTACTACCGGAGAATCACAAAATAAATAAATTCTTAACAAATTATTTTTCTAGGATAGATTCATCCTCGCCTATTCAGATATCAGATGTGAACTTGCTGTTTTATAAGGCTTTTCCTCGCCTACACAAAAAAGTGACTAAAATGAGTACAAGTACGAAGTATATTTTTAGTCACCATAGTGCAAAATTTAATCATAATTATAATCACCAACAGTTGCCATATATAACCTTTTTGCCCAATATTTTACTTTGGTCATTTAAATTATGTATTATTTCAAACTTTAATCCATAGCTTGATATTGTTACTTCATATTAGCTATGGCATGGCAATTGTATGATTGTATCTCATCTACAAAAGAGATGCTTTGGACACATATTTCATTGCATCATTATCACCAAGAAAATTGAACATTTAGCCACAAAATTTTAATTGCCCCTAATTCAGCCCTTCGTCTTTCAATAAAATTATGAAATGTTTATCTCGTGCATACTGACCATTGGCAACCAGTCCACCACCATTCTGGATCTTCAACTACTCCAAAAGTCTACAACCTTCTTTCATAGGTATGCCGATACAGAATGATCTCCAAGTGCTGAAGTGCTTCGTGTACAAGAAATACGACCATAAAAACTCAGCAACTATATTTGTGAGCTTCACATATGATCACTTGGGGTATTTTACCCCTTTGTGCATCAGTGAACACAAAATTCACATCACTCAACTTCCATCTGCTGCTGCTGCTGCTATTAATGAGAACTTTTGAAGGATCGCTACAGTTTCTTCCAGGCCGCTGACATAATAGTAGTAGAAATTACATGTGTCGTTAAGTTCTTCAGTATTAAAAACACATACATTTTTTAAATGGAAACAGTTATAGTACTCCATATTTGGTAAATAACACAATGAATGCACTACATGCACTAAAAGACCAAGAAAGCCTTCTGATATACCATCCATATATAAGAACTATGTTATTTAATCACCGAGTAGTCGCCCAGTTCTTAAACAAGGGCATGAAATCCTTAAGCCCGCCCAGTCCCATCCCGAAGCCCGACCCAGTCCCATCTCAGTTCATCCCTAATTCAGGGTAGGGCCTTGCCGATTAACTCTGACTTGCACTGCTCCTTTTTCGAGTAACTAGCCTAAAACATGTGGTTTTCTCTATATTAATAACACATTAATATATGGCCGAGCAATCCTAAGCATACTTGTCATGGCGGTAAATCGAGTCGCGGTGCCAGCCACCTAGGCGATAAGGCGCCCGCCTAGGCGAGTAGTCACACATTGTATAATACTATGTACGTATATTATATTCTTCTTTTTCATACTAAGTTCTATTGAAAAATACTGCAACCCAATGGAAAATGTCATCCACATCGAAAAGCAGTTACCTGGAAAGATTAAAATTAACAGTCAGACTAGGCATGGACCCAACCGGGCTGAACCGGCGCGGAACCGGACCGGCCCGCTACTGTGCGGGCCCGGATGGCCGGTTCCGGGCTTTAGCTCGGTTTGTGCGGTTCTGGCGGGCCGGTTCCGGGCCATGATTTTCATGAACCGGCCCGGGCTGGGTGTTTTGGGGGGTTGGGGGTTGGGGGTGGGGGTGAGGGAGGGGGGTCAGGGGTTAATTAGAAAGCCAAAAAAAATACATAGAACCAGGCCCGGCCCGGTTTGACCCGGACCCGGTATCAACCCGGGTCGGTTCCGGGCCCAACATTCCGAAAAAAAGCCCACCCGGACCCGGCCCGGGTCTACCCCTAAGTCAGACAATCCTAAGGACTCTCCTGAATTGGATTGTTGTTCTGTGATTCCACTAGGAGTCTCAATCTTTCATATGCAATGAAGCACATGTGTGAATAATCCCTCACGGCCCAGAAAAGTTCAGGCAATTGAATCTTCAGACCTCCCAAAGATTTATGTCTAACTTAGAGACATTGCTTCTGAGAAGCTTCCGTTTCCTTATACTATTATGTACTCCGTATAATATATTACTCCTTCCATCTTGCTAAGATTGTCTCATTTTTTTGTCTGTCCCACTAAAATTGTCTCATACTAAATTTATTAAAGTTTGTGTGGCTCTAAATAATTTTTACTTTATTAATTCAATATCAACCACATAATCCTATTTTTTTTAATAACCGTGTCACATCATCATGTCCCAATGTTAGTGGGACGGAGATAGTACCAACTAAATTGTACGTAGTATATAATTTAGAATTGCGACCCACAATTAATTAATGAAAACAAGGTTTATTAATGGGAATTAAGATTAAAAAATCTGTCTCAAATAAACATTGTAAAGATTAAACTACTAAGTTCTAAAAAATAATCACGGACTAAATCATCTCTATGGCCTTCATTGCCCTGATCATCATCATCAAGGGCAGGAGGTGTTTGGCCATAGCCATCTACATTATCATTTGGAAAATTGTCTTCTTCATTGTTCATGTCTTCGTCAATTAACCTTAATGAAGAATTCGAACCACGGAGTCGATAATAAATCGGTTCTCCACAAGAGCTACTAAGTCTAGGAAGATTACAACGCTCAAGTTTGCTTGGTGCACCTGCAAGTTCATCGACTTGACTCCATAAAAAATCATTATTGGGATTAACAACATCGTCGCTAACCCATTCATTGTTCCATTGGAACTCTTCAAATATTAATAGATTGAAGCTCATTTCTCGTTCACAACGCTTTTGAAATCTAGTTGATATCCTCCAATTATACAAAATGAAAACCAAGTCATTCAACCTTTTATGCTCCAACCTGCTTCTTTTTTTGTATGAATCTAAATTAAATTAAAAAATATATTTGATTAGTATTTTAATTTAATTTGTCAAAATTTTATGTAATTTGTAAATGTAGTTTATACTCTAAGTACTACTACTTACAAACTCAAAGTGTTCCAATAACGCTTACAACTAAAAGAGGTACAACAGAGGCCAACCATGCGTTTGATCAACTATAAATTAGTCACAAATAAAATATTAATTAATCCCTCCGTCCCTTATAACTTTGTCAACTTTCCTTTTTTGGTTGTCCCAAAAACTTGGCCACTTTCCCTTTTAATCAATCAATTTGTGGCTCCTGTTATTTCTCTCCTCTGCACAAATCTCTACCACACAATTTTTACTTTATTATTTACGTGCCAGTCAAACTTGGCAATCCTTTTAGGGACGGAGGAAGTACTTTTTAGTATATTTAAAATAATTTTTAAATATAATAAAAAGTAGTACTTGTGAGGACTCTTAGTTTTTTGTTGCTTGATCACGAGCTACTTTGCAAAACTTTCTCGCAATTTGTTGCAATTTGTTGTAATCTGTCGTTTGATCACTTATCTTGCCCTACAATGTTTTATCGGTGACCATCTTTTATGATGCAAATGCTGAAAAGTCTGTTTGTGATCAAAATATTTAGAAGGATTCAAGCTTGTCATGGCGCATGGTGATCGCCATGGTGCAAAGATATTTTTCATGGCACATGGCGATTGTGCATATACGAATGACGCATATGGCTAGAGCCATATCTCGCCATTGACAACAATGGATGGATTTAAAAACAAAGCAACTACATAAAATTTGACCTACATTTGTGATGTAGTATATGGGTCTAGGCCCCAGGACCCACATACTCAGAAGGACAGAAAGCACAGCCACCACGAGGTGCCCTCGTCGGCCAGAAGACCCTCGTCGGCCGAAGAGGGCCAATCCAGAATATGGTCTCGAGGCCAAGGGACCAGGGTGTCCTCGTCGGCCACGCCCTCGTCGGCCGCGCCCTCGTCGGCCACGGAAGTCTCTCAGAACCGGATCTTATACTTATTCATTTGTATAGCCCATTAATGGCTTTGTATTCGACCCAATAGCGGTCCAGTTGTAAATGGGTCTCCCAAGCCCAAGGCTTGGGAGCCCAGCCCGTATTTTCCCTATAAATACTTCCTCTGGAGGTAGTTATCAGGGTGACAAAATCATTCTATTGAAGCATATTATCGCACTTCTCTCTCTAGCTCTCACTTCTCTCTAAACAACTACTCTATCAATTTGGACTTCCAATCATGTCTCATGATCCCAACCAGACTTTTCAAAACTCACTGATTTTTTTGGCATAATCCACGGACTTTCAAAGCTTTGGCATAGCCAGTTTTTCATCAGTATCAACTATCCTCAAGACAACTAGAAGTGGTTGTGAAGCTCTTAAACAATCTTTCGCTGCACTCCAGAATCTAATAGACAATACAATATTGCTTACCTTATTTCCCGCTTATGAGGCAACCAATTTAAATCTACCCAATCCAGACCGCAATTGATGAAATGGTGCTTCTTTGTGTTTATATAGAGCTTGCAAAGTAAGAAACACTTATGCAAATCTAGTAGCTCCAGTTTTACAAGATCCTTCACACTGGTCTTTTGTCTTACTCAATGGAGGATTCTCGCAACCTCATAATCTATGTAGCACGGAAACTCTTGGGAAAGAGTACGTTTCCCGTTTCGGAAACTCTCGGAAACTCTTTGGAAACTCTCCAAATAAGCGTTTTTTGAGCAAAAGTTAACGTTTCCCGTTTCCCATTTCCCTATGATTTTCACGTTTCCATGCAACATAGCTTATAATTAGAGCCAACTTCTTCGATTTTTCTCTCAAGCAAACCTGCTAGCAATGTTGCATCTTTAGAATCACATGAAGCATAAACTGAGTCTAGAAAAAAGTACCTTCTCTACCTTCAATCAGACCATCCAAATAGATTTGTCTAAGACATCAACTTCTAAACCAAGTTCTGGGACATCAACTTCCTTTGTGTTTCACAAAAAATGTCAAAACAAAAAAAGTCAATTCCGTCATTCGCAAAACTTTTGAGGAGGTGGTTGATAAATGACATGCGAAAGGCCCCACGCAAAGTACACAAGAACAATGTACAAAAAGCAAGGAGGAGGAAGAGAGGGTCTTCACGCACATTGCTGATTTTTTTTGTGATAATGGCATTCCTTGCAATGCAGCAAACCCCCATGAGCTATGAAATCATGGTAGAGTCAATTGGAATGTTTGGAGTTTGGACCAGGACTTAAACTTCATAGTTATCATGAGTTACGTGTACCACATCTTGAGAAAGCAAAGAAAGAGTCAGAGAAGGTGAGAGAAACATGAGGTTGCTTGGAAGGAATACGGGTTCACACTTATGTCTGATGGATGATCTGACCGAAGGAAGTAACACATGATTAATTTCCTTGTCAATAGTTCCAGAGGATTTTTTTTCTAAACTCAGTTGATGCACAAGTGAATCTCAAGATGCAAGATTGCTAGTAGGTTTGCTTGAGAGAAAAATCGAAGTTGGAGTACATCTAAACTCACTGCCATAGAAGCAGGAAAAAAGGTAAGCGATATTGTATTGTCTACTAGATTCTGGAGTGTAATAAAAGATTGCATGAGAGCTTCACAATTACTTGTAGTTGTCTTGAGGATAGTTGAAGATCATGAAAAACTGACAATATCAGAGGTTTCAATGCTCATGTATAATGTCAAGAAAAAAAAAATTGGAGTCATTTGAAAACTAGAGTTTTGGGAAGTCTGGTTGGGATCATTGAGTCACGATGAGAAGTCCAAATGGAGGTCAAATGATATGGAGCTGCTTTATTTTTAAATCGTTCTAAATATTTTGATCTCAAATAGACATTCAACATCTGCCATCAAGGTAACAAATGATGTTTAACGACATGCTTGAAAAGATGGTCACGAATGAAATACTGCAGGCCAAAATAAGTGACCAAATGACAAATTATGACAAATTGCAAGGAAGTTTTGCAAAGCAACTCTCGATCAAGCAACAAAAAAATAAAAGTCCTCATAAGTGATACTTTTTATTATATTTAATATATATATGTATATATATATATATTAAAAAGCAACTAATATTTTACTTATGACTAACATATTAATTGAACCGCAATTATTCGCAAATCGCATAGTTAGTATATGTTGTACCACTTCTGACTGTGAGCGTAATTGGAGCACTTTTGATTTTGTGAATAATAGTATTTGAGTACTAGCTACAATTACAAATTATATAAGAATTTGAATAATTAAATCAAAATACTATTCAAATATATTTTTTAATTTTTTCCAATTCATACAAAAAGAAGAAGCACGTTGGAGCATAAGTGATTAAATGACTTGATTTTTATTCAGTATAATCAGAGGACAACAACTAGATTTCCGAAGCGGCGTGAACAGGAATAAGCTTTAACGCGTTAATATTTGAAGAGTTCCAATGACCAATGGGACAATGAATGGGTCAACAACAATGTTGTTCATCCCGATAATGATTTTTTATGGAGCCAAGTTGATAGAGCTACATGTGCATCAAGCAATCTTGAAGGTCATAATCTTCCTAGAACTTGTAACTATCATGGAGAACAGGTTTCTTATAGACACCATGGTTCGAATTCTTCATTAGGGTTGATTGACGAAGATAAGAACAATGAAGAAGACGATTTTCAAATGATGATGAAGATATTGAAGATGACTATGACCAAACACCACATACTCATACTTGTGATGATGATCAAGGCAATTAAGGTCATAAATATTATTTAATCTTGGATGATTTTTGAGAACCTAGTAGTTTTATCTTCACAATTTTTATTTGAGACAAACATTTTTAATCTTAATTCCCATTAATATAAACCTTGTTTTCAATAATTAATTGTGGATTTCAATTCTTAGTTATATATTTCATATGTCCCTTAAAACTTTGTCATCTTTGAATTTTTTAGTCAACTATGTTCAACTTTGACCAATTATATATTTTTATATGAAATTATTTATAATATAAAAAATTATATCAAAATGTTCTTTTGTTGAAAGTATTTTCATAAAAGTATAAAACATATCACTTTCATAATATTATACTAATCATAATCATGGTCCAAACATTACCACCATTGACTTGAAAAGTAAAGATGGCAAAAGTTTTAGGGATGGAGGCTATACTATTTAAATATTTAATTAGTAATATATTATACATAATATATAATTATATATATAATTATATATACAATTATATATAATGTATTATACAATGTGCGACTCGTTGCTTAGGCGGGCGCCTTATCGACTGGGCGATTATAGTGGTCAGCTGGCGCCGCGACTCAACTTGCCGCCGTGAACAGTATGATATGAACTTAGACTAGTACATACTTTGACTTTTAATATTTTTAGCTCCATTTGATTTCAAGAAAATCAATTCTCGTGGAGAATTGTTTTCCCTAAATAGTACAAAATGTTTTTCAGGAAAGATCATGTACAAATATAACATTTAACGCACAAAAACAAGAAAAAAAATCATAATGTTTGAGGAACATGAAGCCCTCTTCCCATAGAAGTTAAGAAAAACCATTCAAATATTTTCCTCAAGGAAAATGTTTTCTGTACCAAACCCATGAAAGTCGAGAAAAGCTTTTCAAGATAAATATGTGGGGGTTGGACGGAAAAGAATAGACAGAAATTTGATTGCTTTTCAAAAAAATTAAAAAGGTGATTATATTGTGGTGATACCGCCTCACATGTCAGTATGTCACTATGACCTGCAGTTTCTGGTGTCCTTGCAACAACCTTTTTCTAGCAACTATTTGTGATGGCTTTTCCCATCGATTTTCTTGGGAAGTTTACGGAAACAATCAGAACGGAGGCTGGGAAGTTGATAAGAGAAAAGCTATTTGAATAGATTTATGGTTTAAGATTATTTAGTCTGTTTTTTAAGAAACATTTGAAGGTTGTCATATTTTCTTGAAAAGCTATTTTGGTCATTCCCCCTAAATATATTTTTGTGGAAGGCTGGAAGCAAACGGAGCTTTGAACGAAGCCAGGATTGCATGCTTACCTTCCAGATCGTAATATCTTATACTTTCCTTGTTTAGTGAGATCCACCACGGTGGAACCTGCACGCCTAGCTGGAAGAACACCACCATCAAAGATATACGCACAGTGCCCCCAGAGGTTCTCAAAGTCTCTGATCTTGATGCTGCTAGCTTGACCACTAAGATTTGCGCTTGTAAGTGCAAGTGCACTTCCAGAACAACGGGCAATTACCCTAATAAAGTTATTATCTGGTACTCTAACTCCTATGCTCTCAACTCCAGGGTTTAAAGATTCCTCAAGGATACTTGACTCACCTGCAAATATATTCAGAAAATTGATATTTGGGTACATGTACCATGCCTTCAGCTACAATGCCTAAGCTAAGGATCCGCTTGTTTACAGGAAAATATCTTTTCATGGAAAATGTTTCCCTGGGATTCTGGATATGCTTTCTTGGAAAATATGTTGTTCTATACTTCTATGTATGTTTTGCACATAAAAATAGAAACGTAAAAACTGTTTTAAGAATAAGGGAAGTTATTTTTCCAAAACCTTCACAAAAGCACGAATTTTTTCAGCGTTATCAAAGAAAAATCCTTCCAAGAAAAGCTTTCCATGTCACTAACACAGGGACACCAAAATGTGTTTTCGAGGAAATAAATTGTACTGGAAATGAACAGAGCCTAAACAGAAAAAGACACAAACCTCGACTTAACACAAGAGTAACAGGACCAGGAAGGAGAGAGTGAAGCAAGCCGTTGGGTAAATGATCAGTGAATGCATACTTGTGAATGTCATGAACATCCCCAACACAAATTGCAAGTGGATTTGTATACTTACGCCCTTTAATCTCATATATATGATTAACTGCCTTGGCAGAACTGCGATAACAACATACAATGTTGAAAGAAATCATGCAAGTGTATAGAAATCTGCGAAGTAGATATGCTTTGGGATTCAGTATTAAACTTAAAGAGAAACAATACTAAATTATCTATTTTAGCATTACTGTTTAATGTACGGAGTAAATAAATTTACATATAGACGTACAATGGGTGTCCCTATTCCTACACCATTGACTTCAAACCATACCCTCTCAATAATAGACAATTTCTTTCTTGCACAGTTTCACCTAACATTAAACATAAAATATGACACACTGTGAATGATAGAGGTGAAGTTAACTCAATGGAAACTCCAGCACAGAATCACAGTTCAGATTGCACAAAGAAGGGAAAAATAATAAAAATACCCCAAACTTTGAAGGGGTGTGAGGTAAACACCCTAAACTTGTATATGTAATTTAAATACCCCAAACTTTATATAAAAAGTTATTTTTGCACCATTGTCATGTATTATTTCTTTCAAAAATGTAAATTTATGGGGTTAATTGCATAATTTAAAATTTAAAATAGCAAATTAAAAGTGTTGCAATTATATAGATTGGGGGTAACATTATTTATTTCGCAATGAAGTTTAGAATGTTAATTGTGTCTTCATGAATTTTAAAATATTTTAATTATGCAATAAACACCATAAATTTACATTTTTGAATGAAATAATATTTGCCTATGGTGCTAAAATAACTTTTTAGATAAAGTTTGGGATATTTAAATTACATATGAAAGTTTGGGGTGTTCATCTCACACCCCTTCAAAGTTTGGGATATTTTAATTATTTTTCCCCACAAAGAAACAACACTTACGAAAGACAATGCTGGAGGACAAGTATTCCATTTAACAGGCTATATTGAAATAGTAAAAAAGGGTCAACTTTAAGGGAAATAATGGATGGGACTTACCAAGCATCACAAGCAAAGCCATAAAGTGTATCAGTGGGGACAGCAATAACATGGCCACACTTTATAGCTTCAATTGCAGCATCAGCATAACCTTCTATTGCTGGTCTCACCACTCCAAAATCCATCCTATTGTTCAAACAAACCCCAACCAATCCCCTTTGGAGCTGCCCTGATCTCAAAATACCAATTTTCCTGCTCAACACTGAAGGCCCAAAGACAAATAAAAAATCTTGAACACCAAAAAAGAAGCATTTACACCAAGATACTATTGGTTCTGTTATGTATCTTCATCAGGCTTATTCAGCAGAATAAAAACTTTTGACTTATTGATTTGGCCAGAATTAATGTCACCAAGCGCTTTTCCTTTCAGAAAATCTACGGGATTTATTCTTCCATTTCAGTCAAATGCTTTTTACTAAAGGCCCTATAATTGTTGAGTAAAAACAGAGAGAGAAAAAAAAGATTTAGTGATCTGCAAATATGCATGATATGAGAGATTGTGAAGAACCTAGAGAAGGCAGGAGAAGAGGGGCAAGGAGAGACACTTTCTGGGCAATTCTTATGCTTTCAGGGGGAAGGTTCATCAGCAACTTCTACTTTTTGTCTGCAGCTTTGCTTTGGAGACTCAGAAGATTTTGGCACGAGCTTTTGGAAACAAGCCTATACCATATTCCATTGGAAAACTACTGAAAGATGTATTATGTAAAATCTTATAAGTCCTTCACATAGCTAAAATTCTAAGATTGATTTATTGTGACTGTATACACATAACCTCATATTCTTAGATGCATAATTACGATATATTAGATATATCATATATTCATAAAAATTAAACATGTTAACATCGATATTGGACTCCTCACCCATTGTTTAAAACCTCTAATTTTGCATCCAAAGCCCCAAAATTTGGGTGCAAAGTTTGGGGGAGCAAATGTTTAATCTATAAACAACCCACTTTCGGGGATTTCGTTTGCAAAGTCAGATGGTTTAAAGATTGGGATGCAAAGTCCAATATCGAAGTAAAAATGGAGTTCAAACTCAATTTATAACTCTTATTCATTGATAATCCCAGTCCAATTTTCTTTTTTTCTTTTTTTTCTTTCTTTTATCTTCTTTATCTTTCTATGTTTTTATGTTATTTTTATATTTCTCAATGTCTGGTATCTTTTTATCTATTATCTTCTTATTATCTTATGTTATTTTTATCTTGTATTCATCTTTATCTTATCCATTTATCTTACTTTATCATTTTATTCTTCCTATCTTTCTTCTCTTTTTGGCTCCGATGTCATGGACCGATTCATGTTAGCTAAACCCAAAATCTTTTGAGGATAAGGCTTGAATGTTGTTGTTTTTGTTGTTGTTGAGCAAAACTTCTTCCATCTCTAGTATTTGTTTCTTGTTCCTTTTAGGTAGATAAAAAGCATGGATGGATCGAAATACCTTTTGATTGCATATTTACATTTAATGTCAGCATTTCTTCATTATCTCATGGAGTCATGGTTTGTGAAGCATCAGAATAAATATTCTTAATGACTTCTTCCTAACTACAATACACTGGAATTCAAATTCAGTCTTATTCTTTTCCTAAGTAGCTTAAGTTCTACTTCATCTCTATTCCATTCCATGTACTCCGTAATAAATAGCCGTTATTTTTATCAATTCACTCATACCTCACCTCTCCCTCTATTGAGCCAAACTGAATACACCCGGAATGGAAGAAAGATATTTTTTCTTCAGCTGTGCGTGACTGACAGTGTCAGGTAACCCATTTTTGGTTGATAAAGCCCAATATTTAGATATGCATGTCTCACTTCATCTCATACATTGACAAAATATTCATGAATTTGCTTTCATTTTCCAGGATCTCTCTCAATGGAAAAAGATGGAGGCAACTCCAAATTTGAGATAATTTGGATTTCGGGAACTTGGGCTTGTGGAGGAACCTCATTGAGTAGATCTTGCACTATTGAAGGTATAGGTTCGGAACTCCCTTCACCACTTTGACGATTCACTTTCGGAAAGAATGATAAAATCAACTTCTTTCCTTTCTTGGCAATATGTTCATTATACATTCCAAAAAGTATTTTCAATATTGGTATATATTAAAATACTTTTATGCAATTATAAAACTCATAAAGAAAAAACGTTGTACATAAAACTAATAAGTATTCTCGATTTCAAAATTCAATTGAAATTTTCAATTCTTTCTTACATGTCCTCACAATAAATAAATCATTCTCTAATCTTCAATTGTGTAATAAATAAATCATTCTCTAATCTTTAATTCTATCTTTGATAATTATAATTTATAATGAATTAAACACTATTTCATAATGTACTGCAAAATTCAATTAATAATCAATTGATTCCCTAACCATAAAACTCTAAAAGGCTAAAAATAATACTCCCTCCGGCTAACGTGGGACAAAAGGGAGTGACAAGCAAATTAATAAAAAGTGTTTTATGTGGTTGATATTGAAGTACGAATGATTTAGAGCCACACAAATTTCTAACAAATTTGATATGGTACAATCTTAGTGGAACAGAGTAATAAGGTAAAATGGGACAATGTAGTAATACACAATAACACAAAGTCAAAAGACAATAGATTAAAAAACTAAAAGAGAATTAGAATTAGAATTAGAATATACCTGGAGCAGTGGACCTGGAGACAGAGCCGCAGGCAGAGCCGAAGTCCGGAGAGGGGGAGAGGAAGGACGGTCGACGCAGGTCACTGGACGCGTGGACGGCAGCAGACGGCGCGGTTGGTGGTCTGGTGTTCGCGTCTTCGTCGCAGGGTCGCAGCTCACAGCTTCTTCGTCGCAAGCTCTGAAGCTCCGTCTTCGTTCTTCGACTTTCCTTCTTCAGTCCTTAGCACTTCTGCCAGTTCGCATAAAGGAGGCGCAGGTAAGGTGAAGTTTGGGCTGGGCTGGAAATTAATTTTGGGGAAGTCTGAGAATTAAATTTGGGTTGGGCTGATAATTAAGTTTATACTTAACTAATTTTAAAAAAGAGGAATTCTATTTGCAGCCACTTTTTACTATTCACAGCCACAATATTTTTAATTACCTATACTACCCTTCATTTTTTTGGGGTTAGGACTACCCTCCTTTCTTTCATCGGTCTTACAAAGAAAATATGAAGACTAGAATTCCGAAAGGTTATCTTTGCCGCCTCAAAGAAGAGATGGGTTTGAGTAGAATAACCATCTCAAAGAAGAGATGGGTTTGATGGAGATGTTGAGATGATTCTTGACAAAATGCAGGAGTATGGATTGCTTAAAGTCAATTTAGCAGAACTGAAACGAAAATGAAAGCACCAGAATAATCAATCCCAAAGTCGTTCTTGTGTTTGTGTGGTGCATAAATATATTTTTTGGCCGTGAAGCCAGTTCAAGTCAGCAGGCTTGAAAGGATACAGAGACTGCTCGTCTGGGTAGATGTTCTTGTGTAGAGTATTCCAACGTTCGGAACTATGATTCTATTATTATAGTAAGGAGAAATTAGACATTTAAACTAGTTTTAATTATAATTATTATTTTGGGGGGCTGTAGTTAGTAATTAGTTAGTAATTATATGACTGTAGATAGAATTACCCTTGAAAAAATTGGATTAGGTTGGAGCCCTCCTCAACCATCACAGTGATCCGTCCCCGGAGGAAGATCTTTTTTTTTTGTTACAAGAACGTCTTATTTGAGAGAGAATTAAGAGTGCTTTGGCCTTTGGGATTAGGGGTGGGTATTTCGGTTTTCGGTTCGGTTTTCTTAGGTTTCGGTTCGGTTTCGGTTTAATCAGTTTGATAGAAAATGTACCAAATACAAACCGATTATGTTTCGGTTTGGTTTCGGTTTGATATGATTCGGTTCGGTTTGGAGTTCGGTTTACCAAAGTATTAAGGTTTGGATTGAAAAAAAAAATAACTCAAAATAATGAACCAAGAAGCGATAGTAATGAACCAAATATAATGTTAGATATAAATTTGCAAACAGTAACAAAACACATATGAACCAAATATATATAAGCATGACACATTTGTAAGCAACAACAACAACGGGAATTAATCAAATTATATATAAAGCTGAAACAAAAACAAAACTGGTGTTTGTAATTAATGAACCAAATATATAGCAGTAGTAGATAATAAATTATAGTTAAATACTATCTACTTAAACCACAATGATTGTTGTAGTTGTGAATGTAACTCTTGTAGTAACTCTAGTCCTGGACACTAAAATTAAAGAATTAAAGTTTCAAAAAGATTAACATCAATCAAATTAATGAGAGAAATCTTATATTTTGGTTTGGTTTAGTTTGGTGTAAGTTGGTTTTGATTTGTTATTTTTAAAAAATAAGAAATTATTTCATTTTTAGATTAGTTCGGTTTTATTCGGTTTTATTCGGTTTTATGATTTCGATTCGGTTTGATTCGGTTTAATACGGGTTGGGAGGAATACTACCAAACTCAAACCAAATTACAAATGGTTCGATTTCGGTTCGGTTTAATTCGGTTTGGTATGGTTCGGTCTAACCGAACCGTTATGCCCACCCCTATTTGGGATATTGGTTAATACTAGTTACTCCAGAGTAAAGTAGCTACTCCGTATAATTTAGATGCAATTCTATGAAGGAAAAAAATTGATAATGGCCAATTAATTGAAACAATTAAATAAAAAATGAAATAAGATATCATTGTTATAACAAACTAAGAAGTATATGTACTAATCAAAAGTAGAGCATCATGTCATGAAATAGATGTATTTGTAAGTCCACGAAGTTGTCAAGGAAACCTGCAAATTATTAAAATTCTTTGTATACAACATTCAAGGTTTCACGCACACTTTGGACAGGGCAATGGAGGAAGATGATAACTCTTTTCAATAAAGGGGCTTCTCAGCGCACCGCGTGAAGTACTACGCGTGCCCATATTTCCACTTAAACGGACATGTTTGTCCTTGAAGCAATGAAGCCTTGATTTACTTCGTATCTTTTTATAGGATTTCAAATTTGGATTAAGTCGATGTCAAATTTCAATACTCGGAGTTTTTGTAGGGTGTGTTTCGGAAAATAAAGAAAATTAATTAAAATAAATTAATTAAATAAAATGACTAGAGAAAAACAAGAAAGGAGATGAAGCAGAATTAGTCAAAGCTCGTGCTACGCACGATTTCCTTAAAACGTATTTGTTGCCTCTCACGGTGCTAGGAGCGTTGCAACAATCGTTTCCCAGGATACGATGACTACGAACTAATGTTTGAGCACACAAACAAGAGTTCCAGCGAACGAGAACCAAGTAAGAACACAGAAGGAAATTTCAGAGTAGTTGTTGGTGTTTTTAGCTCAAGAAATTCGTGAGGAATGTATTGTGCGTTGTGTCAAACCGTGTGTTTGTTGCAAAGCACCTGTCAGCTATTTATAGGAGGATTTGTTGTGTGTTAAACGGGGTGTTGATAATCCCAGAATACATACAATCATACAACCATAGCAGTTATAGAAGAAGCAGATAGAAAGATATATAGATATTATACGCGAATCTGGTATACCGTATGAAAATCGGTCGCTGCTCTCCCTGGAGAAGGAGAGCAGCGGCAACCCTTATCTCTCTCTATCTTTATGCCTCTGAACTCTAAGCCTCTGTCAATCGTTTAGGGTTCCCGTAAGTTAGCCTCCTTTTATAGGAGAAGTTGGCTAACTTATGGGTTACAAGGAAGCCCACGGGCTCATACACATTTGTGGCCCGTATTACACGTTTAATTAATAACTACACAAATACAAAGATAACTAACTAGATTGAACACCATAAAATATTCCCAACAATCTCCCCCTTGGTGATCAATCGTGTTGAATCAGCATTGCAGCGCATATATCTTTGTCTTTGTTGTTATTGAGCTTCCTTTGTCTTTGAACTTGACTTCTGAGGAAGGCTATCTGAAGAATTCCTTGCAATCTCCCCTTTGATGTCTTCTTGTCAATTTGATCTTTGATGCCGGGGGTTGAGGGACCTTCAGTATCTTGCATGTAGTCCTTGCCTTCCAGAAGTTGCTCTTGATCAGCTTGGATGAAGTCCGGTGACGCCTCTAGAATGAATATTCTTTGGAGAATAGGAGACGTCCATGGAATTTATCTTCAGGACACGAGTATTTGACCTCTGTCTCCTCCACAATGTAGTCTTTTTGACTATTTGGAATGAATGCATTTGAGGAGAACTTGTCGGTGGCACAGCGGAACATAATGATTGTTGATTTGTGAGTGTAGCTGACCATTTGATTTGAGTTGTAGAGATAGCAGAGAAGGTGTTGATTTTTGTGATGGAGGAGTGAAGTGTCCAAGAATGATTTGTTCAGTGTTAACAGCATGTGGACCACTCTCCCCCTCATGACGATCCGATGAATCGGGACGCCATGCTTTTATTCTTTTATTCTGCGGAAATAAAAACAGGAAAAAACAAGCAGAATCTAAAGAAGATAACGTAGCCCCCCGGGGTCGTGAAGACGCCCGTTATCATTACTATAGAGATAAACTCTTTAGCAATGGCCTGAAAATGTTGGTGATTCTTATGTTGCAACAGCAGGACTTCCTTCCAATTATTGGTTTACATCTGTAATAGATGAGCCCTATGGAAGTTCTCGCGGGTCATGAAGACCTGCAACTGACTTTAAAAGTGCGTGTGTGTCCCAGAAAATTTCAAAACATTTGGGAGTGAGTAACTAGACACGACGTGATCAATGAAAGTTCAGTGGCATGGGGCTGAGGCCACTGTAGTCAGTATTACTTGCCTCGGAAGGAGACAGTAATGAGAGATGCGGTCCCCGTGAACTATGATTAAACACCTGTCTGTTGGGAGACAAGTGAGTGGTCTAGGGTAGGGTTGTGCATGCGCCGTTTGGACAAAATGCAGCGACTTCTACCCGGGATCTGAAAAAATTCAGTCCTGAACCTATGGGGATAGTCCAGAGTATTTTAGTGGCTAGGAGCAAATGGTCAATTCATAGCAGGCAATTGAGGTAGCAGACTCATCATTGATAATTGTTTCATTCTCACTCGAGCCTTCTGCTTCCTAATGCTCATAATGTTCACTCACTCACTCGCTCACTCACGCACTTACGCTCGGTTTTGTCCCTTGGGTAGGCTTAGTTGGGTTTACTAAGCCATAGGGACATGTTCTCTCATTACTTTCTTCATTTTCTCTCTGTACTCCCCCTCAACTGGAGTACTCGGTATGCCTTGTCATTTTTAGGCACCGGGAAGGATAACATTGAACACTCCCCCTAAAATGTTGCATCCTTTGAGAGATTCCTTGCTTTGTCGGTGTAAGGCGCCAGGAGGAGAAAACTGAAACTCCCCCTCAGAATGTGCAAGGATTGAGTGCTCACAGCTTGTCATACCCGCCATGTGTGTGGAGCAATCTGAACATGTACCACACATGACGGTTTCCCTGATCTCACCATGTAGAATTTCAGCATATTGAAGATTACATAATGTTGATGAGTCAGGGGAGGCTTCAGCAGTTGATTGTTGATTGTTTGTAAGATGAACGTTGACGCGAGGTTGATTGAATTATCTACGATTTTCGGACCTTTACAGTTAGGTTTAGAAAATGTTTGACCTCAGGGTTGACTTTGAAAGAATTTGAACAGATTTGCCTAAGTTTTGACCTGGACATCGGTGATTTACAATGTTTGTCGGAAAACTCACGTTTTGACCCTCAAAGACTGCGAGTGAGGGCGCGTGAGAATGGGTTCTGGGGCGTAGCCCCAGAATAAATGTAGATCTTTTCGTTAGCTTTCCAACAAAAAAAGTTTGCTCAAATCGGATCACCGAGTCAAAAGTTATGGCCAAAACAGTGCGGTGTCGCAGAAAATCTCTAATTTTAAGTTTTTGAGGAAAATCTTCGAGGTTGAGGTTC